TGGATTCCATTTCTAAGCAAGTCCAGCCCAAACTTCAAGGGGAGGAAAATGAAGCTCTACCTCTCAAAGAGGAGTATCAAAAGATTTATGGACGTATTTTTAAAACAACCACGTGTATGATACAAGTTACCCAAACCCAGTTTGCTCTCTGGCCTATGTCAAAGGTTGGTACATTTTTTTCTGTAAAGGACCAGACAGTAAAATATTATCTTAGACATTGTGGGCCAGACTGTCTCCATTGCAACTACTTAACTCTGCCACTGTCCTGCAAAATAGCCATAGGCAATACATAAACAAATGAGTGTGGCTTTGTTCCGTAAATTTTATTCACAAAAATAGGCCTGCAGCACATCTGGCTATAGGCACTAGCTGGCCGACCCCTGGTCTACAGCTATAGGGGTTACTGGAAATCTAGCATACTAAATGATCTTGCTTCCCTGCCATCAGAATCCCATTTCAAAAGAAATTCATCCACAAGACATACGGTCTGATCTGCAGCTTGAAATTTAGGGAGATAAATAGGAAGACAGAGAGGCAAATGTGAGAGAGGTAGGTGGAGAAAACTTCAGAACACAGAACTGCAGTTGTCTTCAGGGAAAAAGGAAGAATTGGGATGTATTCTGATTTAGTACAACACGGGACAAGACTTCTTCATTCCATTCAATCTGTGAAGCTGAGATAAGACAGTAAGTCTGAGAGGAGATGCCCCCAAGACAACTGCAACTGTAATGCTAGGTTGTGACTCCAGGTGTGAATTAAGGGACCCATACAAAGCTCCTGAGTTCCAAAAAGCCCTGAGTTTACCAAAGGTATGTAGAGAGGGGAAAAAAGACTTGTGAGTTTCAAGCGGGGGTAGAAGGTAGGAGCTGCTGGGAACATATAGGGATAATGGAACTTCAGAGATGGAAGGGGTGGAAGCAAACATTTATTTTGAAATATTCATGAATAAACTTCAAGTGATTATTTTTAGCTAGCATAAGGCTAAAACTTAGATCTAGACCTAATTCCCCTCCCTCCTTGTTCCTTAGGTTTGGGTTTTGTTTTTTTTTTTTAATTTGCAATACTGACCTGTTTCTCAGGGCTGTTTACATTAAGCTTATATGATCAAGTCAAGCAGAGACGGAGCTGAGAATTCCACTTTCTCCTTCACAGTCACCTGCAGTGGACTTTTAACCTCGGATAGATCGTTTCCTGCCCAAGTTATGTATCATCTTCAAGAAAACTGTTGATAAACATCACCATTGAAAAGTTCTATTTTACTTTTTCTTCAGCCCAAAACATAGCTAATTACACATTTTTAAGCTAAATTTAAAGGTAAAATCTTACCAACCTCTTTGAGGAGATATGCTTCGGAAATGAAGAAGACTGCTGGCAAATTATTTCTCAAAGTTGTCTGTTTTGCTCTCAGGCCACCATGAGGCCTATCATGACCCTATCTGGATAACTGGGCATAACATCAACAACTCCTTTGTTCTGTTAAGGTTTTCTCCCTCTTATCCCAAATCTAAACCTAAATAAAAAGAGTAAACAATTTAAAATTTTTTGCTGCAGTTTTCTTTGTGAGAAACACACAACTTCCTTTGAGGTGATGTCAGTGGACTTAAAAAAAAAATGACTTTGGGGTACCCGGCTGGCTCAGTTGGTTAACTGTCCAACTTCAGCTCAGGTCACGATCTCGTGGTCTGTGAGTTCAAGCCCCGCATCAGGCTCTGTGCTGCCAGCTCAGAGCCTGGAGCCTGCTTCAGATTCTTTGTCTCCCTCTCTCTCTGCCCTTCCCCCACTTGTTATCTCTCTGTCTCTCAAAAATAAATAAACATTAAAAAAATAAAAAACAATAAAAAGAATTACTTCCATAAAAAATTCTTAGGTATCGTGGGGCGCCTGGGTGGCGCAGTCGGTTAGGCGTCCGACTTCAGCCAGGTCACAATCTCGCGGTCCGTGAGTTCGAGCCCCGCGTCGGGCTCTGGGCTGATGGCTCGGAGCCTGGAGCCTGTTTCAGATTCTGTGTCTCCCTCTCTCTCTGCCCCTCCCCCATTCATGCTCTGTCTCTCTCTGTCCCAAAAATAAATAAACGTTGGAAAAAAAAATTTTTTTAAATTCTTAGGTATCGAATAAAAATGTAAGGGCAGTGTTTTCTCTATTTGAGGTGCTCACACAGTTGGGAGCGGTACAAAGACTTGGAACTTTAGACATCCAGCTTCTTACTGTGTGATGGAAAGTGTGTAAATGACATGTCAAGAGGAAACCAGGCTGTGGAAATCTGATCCGGTCAGAGTCCCTCCAGCACCAGAGATACAGGTCAGGAATTCAGTGAGCACCAGATACTGCCATCACCCTGACCTAAGTGTATCTCTGTTGGGCAAGGTGCTTACGAACAAATCTTTCCAAAAAACATAGGTGAACTATTCTGGTTTTACTAATAACTTTATTTAAATAAGACACAGGAACTTCTATACTGAAAAAATACAAAACAAAAGCCACACATTTCCTTGTGTAAAGCCATATTGTATGGTAACTCGAATACTGTTCAGCGCAGTGGCTAGAATTAAACAGTACAACTATGTACAAAATTTAAACAATTTCTGACAAATTTCTACAGCTGGATGTAGGATACATTTGAGCTCAACAACTTCTGGGAAATTTACATGGCAAAGCATAAGCTTTAACACATTTGGTTCGGAACTTTAATATATGCTAAGAACAAATGTACAACACAATTAATATTTAGTTTCTCATGAGAAAATAAAAGCACATGTCACTATAAATATCGTACATCAGATTTCATCACCAAAAAAGCATTCAGTCCATCTTTCAGAAATTGATATTGATACTATTGCATCTTATTTGGACAAAAGCAGAGCATAAGATCAATACATTATGTAATGCTAAACCAGATATCAGAAGTTAATGGAGCTCATATTTATCTTACAGAATAATTTTCTCCCTTTAACCATAATCTACAAAATATAGTATTTTCATCAAGGCCTGAGATTATTAGGGTTAAAGGTGTCTGCTGCTGAAGAGATTGTTTTAAAAGGTTCCCCTGTGAAAATGGCAAAAGTAAACTGAGTCCTTTTCCATGACAGTCTCCTACAATATAACACTGACTAATTTAAAGGAGCCAGAATGCACCTTCAGGAGAGAATATTACTGCAAACTTTGGTGGAAAGAAGATAATTGGAATCATGAAAAAATAATACACAAAATACATACACACACACATATACATATATATATATATACCATTTCTAAAAAAAAAAAAAAAAAATCAATGGTGTTGCTTTCTTCTTTATCACTTCTTCTTTCTTCACCCTCCTTAGGAAATAAAACAAAGAAATCCCGAGGAATGACTGAAAGGAACTGAAACGTTCCTATAACTGTAGGCACCTATTCCCCTAACTGTTAAGAAAACTGTGCCATATACTGTAGTAGGTACAGATGAAACAACTCTGTGTTTTACTGAACTGAAGAATGGAATAAAAATACAAAAACCTCCCTCTGCTTTAGGATACTCTCTTTGCACCGCAGAAAACAAAGTCTGAGAGCTGGGCTCTTCCACTGACCACTCAAGAGTATCTAGGGCTCTCTTCACACTGTTGAGAATTCGGGTCAAGTCTGTGAGTTCAAGACTGCTTACTTGGGTATAGGCTTTACTTTGCACATCCAAAATACTACCAGAACTATCCATGATATTGTGAGGAGAGACGCAATGAGGCAGCTGTGAGTGACCGCCATGTAAGTCACCAAAGAACCTGCTTCCTAACGTGCACAGCATCTGAGACCCGCATGCTCTCTCTCCACACAAATGTGACTCGCACACCTCAAGTGCTTGAGGAAAACAATTAACCAAAAGCGTGTCATTTTTCAACCTGCAAATTAAAGCATTTCCAAAAGTGAAACTGAACACTAATATGCCTTTAGCTAAAACAATGGCATTTCATGACCCTGATGGGCAACATAAACAAGAAATCTCCACCATCCCCTGGGAAAGTTCACTTGTTTGGAAATCAAACCTAGACTTTCTTGTTTTTAAATCCCATTACACACAATTGGAATGTTTACATACAGCCTGGTATCAGACGCTTTATTTGCAACATTAGAACAGTCATTAACTGAGCAACACCTGAACTTGTTTAAAAAAAAAAAAAAAAAAAAAAAAAAAAAAAAAAAAAAGCCACATCTACACATGTTGAAACAGTGGATTCAACAGTTGTGTTACTTGTAACCGCATGACAAAAGTGATGTCAGACACCACAGATTTGCTGGTTCTCCTCATGTTCACCCATGTCCAGGATTATTGTTCTCCTAGGGTTGAATGCACTTCTTATTCTAAGAATGTGGAATGTAATGAGGAAAGGGAAATGCAGAAAATAAGGAAAGGCAAAAGAGTGATGTTCCCTCTTTAGCTTTTTAGCTGTGAAATATTTAATATCCCAATATGATATACATTCCAAGTTACCTGAGTTTAGACTTCAACTGAAGTACCTGAAGCTAGGCCATAGGGTGGGCACTGTGCAACTGTTGTGGCCATTTATTTATTTATTTTTTTGCATTGTATGTATTACAGAAGTTAGAAACAAACACCTGGATCAATTGTAAACATAATCCTGAAGTACAGTATTTTCCATAGGACAAAACACAGCAAGACATTTTTCTATTTAGACAGGCAACTTTTTGATATAGAGCTTATTTATACTGAAGAATTTGGAACAAAACACAGGACACACTACTACTCTGTCAAACATACTATGAAATGCATAGTCTCCACTTAAAATGCTGAATGACACACACATTTTGCAAGCATTACTGCTTTCCACAAAAACTGCTGAATAGGAGTTCCGTCCCTGCCAAGATCAGTGTCAAGAGATACTTTATGATGCTGATAAGTATTCTGTTGGTGGTGGTGGTGTTCAAAAAGTTTGTCACTCCATGCAGATAAGATGTCTGAGGTCTAGTTCCTAATCCATGAAGGTAGGGTAGAGGCCAGCTCCCCCTTCACTTTAGATGATCACATAGTTCTGAGCAGAGATGTGTTCCTCACCCTGCAGTTCCTGCAGGAGCTGCTGCTGGGACGGCTGTTGGACGGAGGCCTCCGTGGCGCCCACGGAGCTGGTGTCGTCAGTAAGGGATGTAAAGGAAACCCGGGAGGAGAGCTGCTCGACGGTCAGAGTGGCCAGAGCCGAGCTCTGGCCAGAGTTAGGAGAGTTCTTGAGCATCAGGTCGGAGGCAGGTAAGAGAGGGCCTAGAAGTTTTACAGGACAGAAAGCTGATCCGGTTGGGATGAAATTAACCTTGTTTTTGTCAGGACATGAAAAGAGAGGGGCTGAGATAGGCTGACGAGACCTAAAACCATAAGACAAAATGACATTTATAATCACTAACAACTTCCAAACTTTCTCACTTAGCTGGAGTTCTCTACAACAGCTACAATGCAAATGGCAGGGAATGAGTTAAGTGTACACAGAGGGGTAAACATCTTCCATAGCACAAGTCAGCTGGCAGACTACGGATGTGCACAGCACTGAGTGAATTTCGACACCAAAGGATCTTCAAAAGGACTGGGCAAATTTTTTCTAAGATCATTAGTTTGCTTTCAATCATTTAGGAAGATGGAAAAACCTCCTACGTTATAGCTGAAGATTATGCAAGGTTAGAATGACCTTTTCTGTTAAGAAAAAGTGCAATGGGAGAGGGATGACCTAATCCTATATTTGGTTTTAAGCATTTCCTCCTTTTTCTGCATTGCTACACATCTACCAACAGATCAGAAAATTTCTCAAAGAGCCGGTCACAGCCCAGCGGAGCAGGGTCCTGAAGCCTTTCCTCCCCTCCTACTCCCAGAACTTAGCCATCAACTCCTGCAAGACCAGTCTCTGTCCCCTTCCAGGTTGCAAGAGTACAGCAGCCTTCCCCAGGCACTTGCACTGGGACAAAGGGATGAGTGAGTCTAAGAGCCACAGAGTCTTTTTTTTTTTTTTTTTTGAGCTACTCTGCCAAGTATTCACAGCATGAACCTCTTCTTTAATTTCTAATTTAATGCGTACTGAAAATTCAAAAAGAAAAAAAAAACTGTCTCCATTAAATGAATACACATGCTAGATAGCGTCTATAGGGAGACATGTTAGTTTCCTTCTGGTTTGGGGCATCACTATCGTAAGGCCAGCCACACATGGATATTTGCCGCTAAACTCCTTGTTAGCCATCTAAATCAACAGAGGTTTTGAGAGGAAAATTCTTAGTGATCAAAAATAGATATTTTAGGTAGTAAGGATGAATTTCCAAGTTTCTGTATTAAGTTTATGTATTTCCAGCATACAGACTCCAATGCTACACTACGATTCCTTCTGCTTATTCAATTTTCTTCTTATAATTTGGTTTTGAGACACGTTATCAGCTGGATGGAGTAGTTGATTCATCTGTAATCAACTGGTCTCAGTAAAAAAAGCTTTACAGCTTTGCAGATCCCAGCTGATAGAAAAGACATTACTTACGCCATTTCCTCAAAGACCTTCACTCGCTCACATCCCTCTGGGGGCTCCCGTTTGAACATGTAGCTGTTGTTTGGTTTGGGAGATGAAGCGTACTTGGGTAACGGTGAGCTACTCCCACTGTCTGTAAATTTAAAGCAGTTATATTAACTAGTGATTGAAAGCTCTTTTAAATTAAATTTGATTTCCAAACAAGCAGCCTTTTGCACAGTTTATCCACTATGGCCCCTCTGCTTCCACCACAGAGCTTCCTTTTTTGCAGAGCTATTACTAACACCCTTGTGTAGTACATTTCTTAGAAATAAAAGATGCGATGCAACAGTTATCTGCCATACCACAGAAAATAAAAGGAGGATATTTCGATCCAGAAACTGCATTTTGAATAAAGCAGCGCTATCATCTTGAAAACAATTACAGCAGTATGTATTTCAAAATGTAGATGAATGGGGCGATATATATAAATCATGCAAAAGAAATATAAGAGGTTATAACACAGGGTTCTCTAGGTTTTCTCACTGTCCAACCGGTTTAATTAAAAATTTTAGCATGTGGAATAATCTTCATTACAAAGTTTCTTAGCAGAAATATTACTTTTACTTTCATTACACCATGAACAGATGTATACAGGGGGAAAAAAACAGGTTTGTAACACATAATATCATTTTCCCTCAGCCCATCATGAAAAATGGAATTTACTCAGAAATTTGCCTTGAAAATGTCTACATAAAATAGTTTTTCCAGCAGTTTGTATTTTTGCTATTAGAAGCATGAGGAATCTAAAAGCATCTCTACCTAATATGTTTTCTTCATATTTTTGACCAAAAAAAGAAATGGTCTATTCATGAAAAGTCATAAAACCTATATGTAATTTCTCCCTTTCCTACCTGGCAAAGGATTTTGGAAAATCAAATCCACCAAAATGTGTCATTATCTTTGTAAGATGCCAAGTTGTAAAGTCAGTAACGTACCTGTATAAATACAATAGTCCCATTTAAACAAATTCTGACTTAATGCAAACCAATTCATTCTCACTGCTAAAATACGAAGCACATGATCTATTGAGATGTATTATTTTCATGTATATTTTGAAAGATGGCTTTGGTGTCATAATTAAGGTTGTCACAATTTTGATAAGTTGCTTTGGATTAGGCTACAGAACACAGCACCACATTCAGAATCTGAGTAACAGGGATGTTTTCATCATCATTAATGAACTATAATACATGCTTAGTAGACTCTTGAGGCACACTTAGTTGTATTTGGTAAGTGAGTCAAAGAGCACCTAGGTTAGTCTTGGAAATGGAGATGTGTGCTTATATTTGCATATGGCTGTATCTCAGGCTGGGAAATCATTCCCTACAAAATAAAAAGGCCACACAATTGGGAAACCTTAGAAAACCACCCCTTCTCCATCACTACTGTTACATATGTTCCTGCAGATTACACACTGTCTGTTGGAAGGAATTAGGTCTTAGAATTAAGTTCCGTTTCTTCACATGTCATTCAGATTTAAAGATTTTCTCAGAGTCGATACTCATCTTATAGTATTTAAACAAATGGAAGGCAGGAGGAAGGATATAATTTTCTTTCTTAGGTGAATGCAAAACCTCATTAACCTGGCTAGAGTCTGAGTTTGCTGCCCTCTACTTGAGCTGGGCAAGACCAGAAAGATTGGTCTACAATCAAAAAGTGGTGAGAACGAGACCTTGAGCTTGGTGTAATACAAAAACACAGCCTGACCCTGCTTTATTATCCAGGCAGCAAGCAGCCCTGTGGAGATGGTATGTGATGTCTCCGTGGAGGTTCTTGCTGGTGATGGTATTCTCCAAGGAGGGCACAAATGGCCTGAAACCCTGGGCTCTCATGGTTGTGAGAAGACTTTTTCTTGCTGTCAGCGGGAGTGTGGCCATGTCAGCAGTCAAGGACTCACCCCATCAGCACGTAAGAAAAGTCACCTCGGCCACTGCTACAGTCTTTTGGGCTCTACTGCTTACTACATCACCAGGTCTGCTGCTTGATTTCTCTCATGACTTTATTAATGACTTCAAGGGACATTCCCAGAATTGAAAGCTAGACAGGAGCTGGACAATGTATAAAACTGATTATCTTCCTATTAACAATTTACAATAAATTAAATAGTTTTATTCCTAACTTTTTTTTAAATTTCAGAAGCTTATAGTTTTAGCTTTACCTACTTAAACATTCTTTTTTTAAAATAGTTTTTTTAAAGTTTATTTATTTATTTTGAGAGAGAGAGGGAGGGA